TAGGCTCTTATGATACTGCAACGAAATAGAAGAGAAGTGGTCAGAATGAAGACGATGTTATGAAGTTGGCACACACAATCTACTTCAATGATTACAAGGTGAAATTCACGCTTGATCATGCTTTGCTGGACCTTAGACATGATCAGAAATGGTGTGGCACATCTACACCTAAAGATAGGGTTTCATCAAAAAGAAGGAAGTTAGATGAGGAGTCGGCACAGTCATTAACTTCTGCGCCAGGAGAGTATGATCAACGGCCTATTGGCGTTAAAGCAGCAGATGCGAAAGGAAAAAGGTCAGTGAGAAAGCTAACGACATTGGAAGAGGAAGGAAAAGAGATTCAGAGCATGTGTGAGATTAGGCAGAAGGACTTTTCTTTGAAAGATACTCTTAACAAGCATAAATTGCTTGAGAGCCTTCTTGCCAAGACTGAGTCATTAAGTGAACTCGAAATTGCCTTAAAAGAAAAGCCTATTAAGGATATGTTGACATGATAGTATTTTAAGGATTTGTGTTTGTGCCTTTTAAGGATTTGTGTTTGTGTTAAGTTCGAGTCTGTGTTTCTCAGAAATTGCCTTGTTGTTTTTTTTGAATTTGTATCAAATCTGCTTAATGTATAATATTGGTTCTGTTATTATTTTTAAACTTGTTTCTCTTTATATTGATTTGAATATGTATTAAACTTGTTTCTCTCAGTCTTGCTGGTATGAATGTGTATTAATCTTGTTTCTCTTTATTATGTATGAAGCAGGTTTTACAAGAGGCCACGTACACTCTTGACTACCTTTCTTGGTGTTACAGAAGAAGAAGCCAATACATGTGACATTCGTGACTATCTTTCTTGGTGTTATAGAAGAAGAAGCCAAGACATTTGACACTCGTGACTACCTTTCTTGGTGTTACAAAAGAAGAAGCCAAGACATGTGACACTGGTGTTACAGAAGAAGACATGTAACTGTCACAAGCGAAGACACTCGTGACTACCTTTCTTTGTTTTTTTTTTCATTGTGTTTTCTTTATAAACATTGCCGAGTGTAAACATTTCTCAAGTTATTGACTTTGTTCAAACATTGCCGAGTGTAATAAGAAAATCTCCTCTTTAAGCTTCTTTCATTTCCAGAAATGTATGTTACCATTTCTGTTAAACTCCAAAACCATTTCTTTTAAACTCCAATACCATTTCTTTTAAACTCCATCACCATTTCTCTCAAACTCCAATACCATTTCTTTCAAGTTCAATTACCATTTTACTTCTATATGGCTTCTTCTTCTAATAACATTGAAGAAATATTTGATGAAAAGGTCGATCAAATTTTCGATCAACATTTCGAAAATCTCCTCATTCACAATGAAAATCGCCAAGAAGCATTAAGGTCCAAAAAAATGAGCCAACATTGAAAGACAACAGGAAGAATGACACAAGCAGTTATGGAACGATTATTTTAGTGAAGATGTAACATATCCTTCTCACATGTTTCGACGCTAGTTTTGAATGAAAAAGCCCTTGTTCATGTGTATTGTTGATCGAATCTCCGCTGAAATCTCATACTTTCAACAAAGAAGATGTTATTGGAAGGTTCGGTCACTCTCCGTTACAAAAGGCAACAGCAGCAATTCGTATGATGGCATATGGTTGCCCAGCTGATGCGGTCGACGAATACCTCTGACTTGGTGAGTCCACCGCGCTTTTATGCTTAGAACAATTTGTTCAAGGAATCATAAATTTATTTAGAGATTAGTATCTAAGAAGACCCACGCCATTAGATCTTCAACGACTACTTGTGGATCAGGAAAGCCAACAATTGTTTTAGAGGTTGTAGCTTCACAAAATCTCTGGATATGGCACGCGTTTTTTGGACCTCCAGGTACATTAAACGATATCAATGTTCTTGATCGATCACCAGTTTTTGATGATATATTACAAGGTCGAGTCTCAAAAGTTAATTACATTGTCAACGGACACGAGTACCATTTGGTTTACTATCTCACAGATGGTATTTATCCAAAATGAGCTACTTTTTTCCAATATATTCCACTTCCCCAAGCTCTGAAAGCATCCTTATTCGCTACACATCAAGAAATTGTACGTAAAGATGTCGAACGTGCTTTCAGGGTCTTGCAAGCTCGATTTGCCATCGTAAAAAAACCAGCGCTTTTGTGGAATAAAATAAAAATTGGAAAGATCATGAGAGCATGTATCATTCTACATAATCTGATCGTAGAAGACGAATGAGATGGGTACACTGAGTTTGATGTATCAATTTTCGTACAACCAGATTCAAACCAAAGTTCACAAGTGGATTTAGACTTTACTTCATATATCTTCAAATCTCGGGAATATGATGAACATTCGGAATCGAGTTCGTGATAAAAAAAATACATCAACAATTGAAAAATGATTTGATTGAGAATATATGGCAAAAATTTGGAACAAATCAAGATTTCAACTAATTGATGTTTACAATTTGTATTTGTATTCTTAATATGTTTTTATATCATTTTTATTAAACTTTTAATGTATGCTTTTCTTTTATATTATTCTATTTAAAAAATAATTGTTTAAGAACCCATAGGGATCCCATTGGAGGAGGAAAAAATAATTTCCACTAACCTAGGTACTTAACTTCTCAAATCATATTATTTACTTCTAATTTAATCATAAGTACTCATTTGAGGTTCTAATGAATGGACATGCTTTAAGTGGATTTTTAGGATTAATGGTGCTTTTAGACCATGTTTATCCGGGGTCTTTAGTGGGATTCTTAGAGCACCATTATCGCGGTATATAACGGCGTCTCTTAAGCTTATTTACAAGAAAAAATAAATGAAAAATACATATTTACCGAACAAACGTCTCCTAATTAGGAGAAGAAGAGTCCGTATCTTCTTGGCCACGTGTCTGCGTTAAAAAAAAAACGAAGTGTTTCTGTTCTGCGTTCTCTTCTCTTGCTCGCTTCCTTCCTCCCTTCGTCTCTATCTCTTCCTCTCTCCCCGGAGAAACCAACAGCTATGGCCACCGACACGCCAATCCGAATCGGAGTAATGGCCTGCGCCCAGATCGCCCGCAAATCTCACGTGCCATCCACCTCGCTCCAAACGCCACCATCGCCGTCGTCGCAAGCCATTCCTTGGAAAAGTCCAAGTCTTTGGTCAGCTTAAAACCATAAGTTTTTCAATTTGATTTCGTTGAAAATCAATCTGGTTTTTTTCTGTCGAAGATAAAGTCTTTAGCTTTTATGAAAATTATTCATTTTCTTGTGTGTATTCGATGTTCATGAGAATCGTTCAAATTGCTGCAGGTTAGGGAATCATTGAAAATGGAAGAGGAAGCAAGAAACAGAGGGTTTCGGAAACACATGAAACCATCTGTATGTTTCTTATCTTCCATTGATCTTTTCTGATGATTATGCTCTGATTTTGTAGTAGTGATTAGATAATTTTTTTTTGTTCTATGTTTTGAGGTTTGGTTAATGTTTACTTTTGATGAGTCATATCCGTGGTATTGACCATGTTCTTACACAAACACAAACACATATGTTCATCGTTGTAGCTTTATTGCGTTAAAACCTTTAAAGAAGTCAAAGCTCAAAGAAACAAGAGGAAGATGACGTTCATGTTGTTGTTGTGTTGATTGTTTCCTTTTGTATATGTGTTACAGAGTGTCCACTGGACTTGACTTCATCAAACTTCATACTCGTTGCTTCCATCTGCTCCAACAACACCCATCAAACTTCACTCTGATTGTTCTGTAAATTTGGTTGCTTTGGATTATGTTTGAATGAACACTTGCTACTGTGATGGTATGGGAGATGTTAGTATGGAAGATATGACAAGTGTTGAGAATGTTTAATTTTTTTTAAGAACCTTTAAATAAAAGACTTGCAATGGACCACACAAATATATATGTCTCTTAACTAGGTCTTCTAAACCACTTTTCTAACTAAAAAATATTTAAAAAAAATAAGAACCCCTAAATGAGTATGTGGGATAATGATGCTCTTAGTGCATGAGCATCCACAAAACTCTTAAGGATCAACTACAAAAACTACTAACTAAGATCTGATTTTATTAAGTTTCTTACACTATTCGCAGGTCCCACTGACATATGGCAGTTCGCGATTGGTTTATTTTTTAATTATTAATTTTTTTCTTTTTTTTAGAAAAAGATAAAAAATTTAAAAAACCCGTTGAATTTCTAGGGATAAATATGCTCTTAGAAATGCTTAAGTTTTCCCTAAAAAACAAATAACCGTATTTCCCGCGTTTGCCAGTAATAAACGACCATAACATGACTCAGAGAACCTTAATATAGAAACCACCGAATAAGGAAAATCTTCTGGTTATCCGTTGACTCACAATTCTGCATCCAATAATCATATGCCACGTGTTTATTAGCCATATGTAGAAATAGTCAGGAAAGAGAAAAAAAAGAGAGCTCCTTGTGCTCAAAGAAAGAAGAAACATCTTGAGATTTCTTTTTTTTCATTACGTTACCTTTCTCTTCTACTCGCGACCCATAACAAAATACGAACCAAGAAAATAACAAAAGAAGTAGAGAGAAGCCTTTTGATTTTCTCCACAAGCATTTCGGAAGGACATATACAAGTTTGTTGCCAAGTAATTTATTTTCTCTTGTCAATCTTTCTTCTGAAGGCAAAGATATTTTATATGTATTTTTTTCTTATTTGTTTATATTTTCAGGAATTATACATCTTCGAAATCTATATGATTCCCTTCCTTTGGTAATAGAAACCCTAAGATGTCCCATATATAACAATGTAAGTTCACTTTATCGATTTCTTAGAGATTTTACTTCAAGTAGAATTCACCCTAAAACAATTCAAACCTTGCCCCCTCTGCATACCCCAACCTTATTTATAACATGAACACACAATTTTAAGAGAAAAGAATAAGAATTTAAAAACATTTATGAAAAAAAGGTTTTGATTGCTTGACGTCCAAGTTAGGTATGCATTTGCAAGTTGAAGCTGACCTCACCAATGAAGGGTCTATTAAAAGGATTGAGGTACATTGCTCGAATCTTCGGTGAGTTCACTTATCAATTTATCAATACATGCCTCTAGTCACCATGAAATCAAAATTTTAAAATGTTACAAAAAATTGCTGCATGCAGAGGATGATAAGCAACCAGAGATGCAGATTGGAAAACCGACCGATGTGAAACATGTTGCTCATATAGGATGGGAAGGGCCCTCTGCTACGACCCCAAGCTGGGTAAAATATTACCTTAACACTACATTACGTAGATACTTTGGCTGTAATGTTTCATGGGAATCTGCGCGCAGATGCATGATTATAAGTCACCGACGGCTGAGGCAAAAGGAAGTTCCAACAAGAAACCAAGGGAGAAGCAAAGGAACAAGGGGAGGCGTAAGGCCTCAACAGGCACAAACAACTCACCTGCAGAGTCTCCATCAAGGGTAGGAGGTTCAACAAGGACAACAAGACGTAGCACGGGTAAACAGAGAGAGCAGAGCACGGGTTCAGGGTCTGAGTCAGGTTCAGGGTTGGACTTACCTCAACAGAATGATCAGCCTGTGGGACAGAAGCAGTCGAGGCAGAGAAAGTCAAAAGGGACAACAGGAGGAGGAGGGTCGTCTAGTGGATCTTCAAAGACAAAAGAAACAGATATATCCGCGCGTGCGGTTATTCCTTGTGTGGGAGGTCTTGGAAGTTCCAAAGGAAGATGAGAGTTTTTTTCTTCTAAGTATAGTCTAGAGTGGTGGTTGTTGTTTTTCTTCTCATAATCTACACACTTTTATCTTTTCTCTCCATCTTGTTGGAGATGTCTTTGCATAACAAGGCAAGTTTTTTATCAAGCGATTTACGTCGAGAGAGAGAGAGAGAGAGAGAGAGGACTCATTGACGATTATGAATAAGGGATGTGTAACATATATGTGCTTTGCGTAATAACTTCTGTAAAATACATAGATACTCCAACCAACCTTTCTATTGTGTTCTTAGGCTTCAAGGTTGTATTTAGCTTATTTTATTTGTATAGACTTGACTCTGACATATATGAGACATTAATTGTTTGTTACGTTTACATGTTATGATAGTTTTTCTTATAAGAATACTACAAATTTTAGTATATTAAACAAACCTCTATCATCTTATAACAAACATATGCTATTATTGTAGGTTGTTGTATATTCAACATATCCAAAGAAAATTGCTAAAAATAGGTTAGTGTTGACTGCCCCTTTCTACTTTCTTCTAGCACTTGGGAGATATAAAATAAGACACAGTAAAGCCCAAAGTCTATACAAACTATGGGCCTGAATGTCCAAAGGCCCAAAGTCGTCGTCGTGTTTAACATTAAGAGTTAGGGCTTCCAAAAAACTCTTACTATAAATTCTGTTACGCTTGGCTAGCGGCCGACGGCACACAAGCTTTTTTCGACATAGAGATCAGAGTCGCGAAAAATGGTAAATTGTTTCCACTTGATTTCGTATTCGTTGAGCTCGTCGATAGATTCCTGTGGATCAATTAATTGTTTCCAGAACACTGTTTCAAGATTTATAATAAGAAGTAGTGCTTACTAGTTTACTAATGATGATTTTTTAATGTTATTGTTGAGTTTTATATCAAACACACTCTCTGTTGGTCTTTTGATTTTATGTGTTGTGAAATTCTTCATTTGTGCTTTTAGTTAAACTTTAGTTTAATTTGATTTGTTTTATATGAAATTGCAAAGGTGAACATTCCAAAGACAAAGAAGACTTACTGCAAGAACAAGGAATGTAAGAAGCATACATTGCACAAGGTTACCCAATACAAAAAGGGTAAAGACAGTCTCGCTGCTCAAGGAAAGCGTCGTTACGACCGTAAGCAATCTGGTTATGGTGGTCAGACCAAGCCTGTCTTCCACAAGAAGGTGATATTTGTGTCTCTTCTTACTCCCACTTTCAGATTCAAGATCATTTGAAATACTGATTTCTTTGTAATGTAATTGAACAGGCTAAGACCACGAAGAAGATTGTCCTCAGGCTTCAGTGCCAAACTTGCAAGCACTTTTCGCAGCACTCAATCAAGGTAAAACGAACTATCTTCTTCATGTTAACTGATGTGGTGAAACTCTGTAGTTTGTTCTTACACTTTGTTATGTTTTTGTTTCTTCAGAGGTGTAAGCATTTTGAGATCGGTGGAGACAAGAAGGGCAAGGGAACATCTCTTTTCTAAGCTGTTGTCGTCTTAATTGTTGTTACAAATTTTCTATTTCGTTGGATCTTGATTCCATCTGTTTTAGCAAAGAGATATTGATTTCGTATAAGATTGTCCCCTCGTCTTTTTGTTGTCAACTCTATAATTTGAATCATCTAGATATGGTCTTGCTGTTTATCTTTGCACTTAAAATCGTTACTTTTGAGATTAAGCAATAACAAATACTCTGTAAGCATAGGTTATGGGCATCAACCTAGGTAACATCAAATTCTCCGGTTCCAGTGTTTTACAGTGCCTGGAAACTCTTGGGGAGCCATGGTATAACAAATGGAAGGAATCTGAGACAAGTTTCTAGATGTCTTCACTGTTGTTTTCTAAAATGTGATCTTGATCTTGCAAGTTCCTGGTTTCCGACAATGTAAGAATTCAAATTTGTGTGACGATGTCTTCCAGAGGCTGAAACGTCCAACGAGCTCCGTTTTCCACTTACGCTATGTTATAGAAATATTTTGCTAAACACATCAATCCGTAGAAACACCTGGCGTTTTATACAGTTTTTAGTTACATGCCTCAAATAAAAAACCAGAGCTGATATGTAATTAAAAGAAAAAACTTGGCTTTCTAGTGACATTGTTAAAACCTAGAGTCTTCTTGATCACTACCATTCAAGCTCAACCAAAAGTTTGAATAATGATATGCATAGTATTGCTACTTTGGTTCAAATATTTCGGGGTATAATAATAATATAGAAGCTGTTCGAAAATTTGTATTTATTCAGTTTGGTTCGCCTGTTTCAGTTCAGGGTACCCAAATCTATTATAGCTAAAGTGATACAAATCCCTCGAAATAGTACAAACTTAAGACTTTAAATGTACATGGTTACAAAAACAAAATACATTAGATGATAACGTACAACTTAAATAAGTTGTGTGTTTCTTGAGCATAGCAAATAGTGACATTTTATTAGAAAAGGAGAGACGAGTTGAACTTAAAACTCAAATCAAAATTTACAGAAAATAAATATATACGAACTGAAAAGCTAAATTTTCCTTTTCACTTGGAAAGTCTTATAAATCAAGAATCCAGTAGTCCCATGTTTTGTTTGTTTTTAAGGATAAATGATTAACCAATTTCCGGATTTTCCTCAAAGGTTTCTCCGATATGACTAACATCGATGCAAAAGCCAAAATGCTTCCTCTATATATCCTGGAACCTGGTTCGAGACTAGACCCTCCAATTTATTACTTTTGTTTAATCATCTGAATCCATGTCACGGAACGGTAATGGTACGGTCTTCACTGCCCTAAAGTGGCCTACATTGTTCAAATGCTCATTCTCCACTCTGTAATCACAAATGGTAAATAAATTCATACTTAATAACATCCAAAAAAAAAATCAAGTTTAAGAGACAAATCTATAAACCTATGTGAAGTTTTTTTTACCTGTAAAAGTTCCAATGGCCTCGACGAATGACTTCAAGTGATGCCAATAAGAAATCTAACAAATGAGACTGAACAGGATTGACCCTGAATCTTACTATTGTCTCGATCCAAGCAACTCGCAATACCAAATTCACCGCCTGAATAATAAATATACCAGCATTTAGTAAAATACCCTAACTTTTGAGACACGTTAAACAGTTATGTGGTTTGACTTACAATGGAGAGATAGTAGATATTCTTGTTCTTGAGAACTAGATCGTCCCTTAGCCATGGATTTTTGGATTTAGGGTTCAAAAGACCCCAATCTTTGACAAAGTCCCAGTACAACTGGTAAAGCGTGGCCACGACCGAGCTCACCAGCACCACGACTAACCACCCGGTAGTGCTTTCTCTTGCGTAGGTTATGCGGACTCCGGCAGCAACCATCGCCGAAACGTATTTCCCCATGTTGACTAAGTGGTCGGTGTTTGATTCGTCCCACCATCTCCTTATGCACTGTAAATTAAATGTTAATTGAAAGTTTTGAAAGGGAGCTTTGATCTTAAGGAAAATAAAACCTAAGGGAACTTACTTGCATGGCACGCCAGAAGTAAGGAGAGAAAGAGATTAGGTAAGCAAGTTCTCTGTAGATTCTTCCGTTTTTGCATGTGTTATATTCGTGTGTTCGAAAGCTTTGAGCCATGAAGTAACACGTGGTTGACTCTATATGTCTCAGTAATGGAATCTGAATAAAATATAAACAAGTTAGAACATGATTAGTGTGTTAATTGTGGACTAAAAATTATGTATCGTCACCATCCGTTGAAGTCGAGTTAGTTAATTTACCTGGCTAGTAAGTTGATCAGCCATGAAAAAGTCAACCATCAAAACCTGGTTTTGTACAAAAAAAAAACATTTTGAAAATCAAGTTTCTGCAGACTTCATGTGCTACACGTCACCAAAACAGGTCTTACCTTGTAGAAAGGTGAGCAAACTATGTTCCGTAAAATGCGAATGAAGCAGAATCTTGTAGGACGATAAAATGTGTCGAAAGGACATATCAAGACACAAATGAAGATCTGTCACGCACCAAAACACAATTAGCGTTTTGAATTGCGGTTGCGGTTGGAACGCCTGATAATGAAAATGAGTTTACCAGGAGCAGGATGCCTGGAATGGTGTCGACTTGATTTGCGGAGAAACCGGCGGCGCGGAGGATGAGATGTATAACCATAGCAGCCACGACTGATGTCATAAACGTGGTTCCCATCAGAAACGCGTCTCTGTAACGCAACGCTGTGTTTGGTGCGAACTCGAAGATAAAGGTGTAGTTTATCCTCGTGCTCTTCCACATAAACAGATTGCATCCATACATGAACATGTGTAGACTCAGCAACGCAAAAATGCTGCATTATAAAAAAAATTATTATCAAAATAATTAAATAACTCTTCTAGTGATCTCTTTTGTAATACTAAACATTATATAAAAAAATATATATTCTTAACAAATAACTAAAAATATAATACCTGAAAACAGGATAAACAGTCTCTAAATAAGAAACTTGAGCACCAGAGGTGAAGATTCCAGAAAGATGAGCCAGTATTATGTAAATACTAAACAATGAGACGAAACAACCAGTAAATAATCCTGCAAAAAAAGAAAACAAGTACAAGTTTGCTAAAAGAATTCATGGTGGAATGTTATAAAACATAAATAATAAAAGGAGTGCAAAAACAGAGAAAATATAAAACAATACCAACAAAGAAAGTGACCATGTGAGAATCTTTCTGCTGGTGGGGTCTCAGGAACTTCATGGCCTTCTTCCTGTCATTGTTTGCGAAGTGCTTTGTGAATATAGACTCCACTTCGTCCATCAGTCTTACCACCTTGTTTTTATTTTAATCATAACCACCAATTATTTTCTAGTCTTTTTATAGAATGATCTACTCTAACATTTCAATATATATATATATATAGATCTACTTTTATTTTCAGTCATATAATACCTTATCAGAGCTGGTAAATTGCGATCTTTTCACGACTTTTAGATAACTTGATGATGCTTGCTGACCAGAAACCTGTTGGTCCGTATATCAAAAGTCCA